TCCTCCAGCCCGACCGGGAGCAGCACCTCTCGGGTTCTCAGAGCAGGGCCGTCTGCTCAGCCTCGGGGCTCTGCGCCGTTGGTGCCAGGTGGTCGTTCAGTGCCCTGGTGTCTGGCCAATCCTGCCAGCTTGTGTGCATGAGGGTCAGGCTGGCCCTCCTGCCTCTGCCACTCCCTCACTGGGGTAGCCTGTTGCTCCCAGAGCTGCCTCAGGTCATTCATGATGCCAGCCCCCAGTGGCCACATACTGCTCCAAGGGCTCGCCCTGCCGTAGGCCAGAGTCCAGGACTGGCCAGGGCCCCAGGGGGCTCAGTCTCCTCAGTCCTCATCCTAGCTGTGGGGGAGCTCATAGCTCCCCGCCCTCCCAGGGCCTGGGTTCAGGCCAGGCCCCTCTGGGTCAGGGAACTGTGTGGTGTGAAAGGGGCACCATCTGTCACAAAGGTCAGCATGAAGAAGCAGGGCCTGCTCTGGCTGGCCGAGGCCTCAGGGCCACCTCGTTTGCAGTCACCCTCCGCTGCGGAGGACCCCTAGTGTCCAAATTCCCTGTGGACACGGAGGTCAGGGGGTGGCTGGTATGTGCAGGGCCTTGGGGTAGCTCGCTGGGCACCGCCCCGGCTCTGTCTCGGCTGCACTGGTCACTGCCCCAAGAAGGGCATCGGCTGCAGGTGCCACAGGTCAGGAGGGGTGTCCGGGGCCCTTACGGCTCGGTCTTCAGCGGGCTGGGCAGGACCTGTCACTGGGGCCCCATTGGGGTTACAGGGCCAAGCCCATTGTGTGGCCTTGGGGGTGGCCCAAGCAGGTGTTGAAGGGAAAGGGACCCAGCGTTCCAGCTCAAAGCTGATGTCTGGGGGCCACCTGCCTGCTGCCTTGTGGTTCATTGGGAGATTTGGGAGGGAATTCCGTCGGCGTGGCCGCAGCCAATCCCAAGAGCTGTCCTGGGCTGGGGGCAAGCAGGCCAGACGGAGGTCTCTGGGGCCCCAGAGAGTGGCTTGCAGCTGTGGGCCTTGTGGACATCCCCTCATGCTGCTGCTCCCAGGCTTTAGGGACAGTCTGGCTAGACGAGGGTCTGGGCTGCTCACACTGGATGAGTGGGCCAGGGAGGGCCAGCCCATCTTCTTTAGGGAGCGTCTCAATGCTGGGAGAGGTGTGAAGAGGGCTGGGCGCTGGGGACACTCACTCCAGGCCCAGTGGTCCCAGATGATGTGGTTGTGGAAGGTGTAGTTCACGTCCAAGTCAATCTGCTTTATTTCCGGAGAGAAGACCTTGGCCTGCTCCTTCATTTTCTATGGGCGGAACCAAGGAGAAGCCAGCATCAGAGATTCAGAACACTAACTGCCACAAACTGCCATCAGAAACAGAGCGAGCGCTGCTAGCTGAGACGTGAGTTTTTCCTCATTCTCTGCCTTGTTTCTGAAGCCAGGGAGGGTCGCATGTGCCCACTATGCCCATGATGCCCACATCACTGCCTGTGCCCAGCAGCCCTGGGGAGGGGACCGCTGATGGTCAGCCTGTGGCTCCTCCGAGGCCCAGATCCCCTCCCGTTAAATTGGCACCGTCCAGGCCACCCTGACCTCTCCTCCACTCCCCTGCATGGGGGCCTGCCCAGGATGACAGCGCCCACCTGGGCTCTGAGCTTGCCCCCTGGGAGGCTGCTCCCCAGAACCTGCCCCCAGGGCACCGGCCCATCTTAGGGCACTCCGGGAGGCAGGCGGATGGCTCAGCCTCTGCTCCCTGACACCTTCCTGAGTCCTGAAGCCAGACAGGCGAGGCAAGGGCAGTTCACTACCTTCACCTTCCGATCTTCACCCAGTCATTCATTCTGTTTCGCCAAGCAGGAATCTGGCACCAGCCCATCCTGCCACCCCCTCACTCAGGGCCCTG